GTAAGTAGACAAAATAGTCGTTCATTAATGACGATAGCTGCTGTTATATTCAAAATTAGCAATAGCAATTAGTGTGAAATTACCAAATGAAAGTTTAAGGCATTGGATGTCTTAATTACAATTCACCCCAAGCCGAACATATTCTTTCCCTAAGTCTTACCCAATCTTCGCTCTGTTGAGAAGAAGCGACATTTAATTCAGTTACAAAATCGTCATCAACTTCCAACTTTTTATACTGCTCAACCAAAGACTTGGTTCATTTAATTCTTTGGGAAGCATTACGCTTTTTAGCAGCCATTCTCGCCCTACAGTCGTTCATCTTTGCTTGAAGCTCCTTCATCTCTGCAGCTAAGCATACCATCAAAGAGTCTTCGATCATAACGTCAGAAGAGATTTCTTTCAATTTATCCTCGCTTTGTTAATCTCTAGAAGCAAAGACTCTCTTTCAGATACATCACGAAGATATTGAGTACTCCTGGCCTTCAGTTCAACATTCTTAGCTAGCAAGGAGAGGATGTCAAAGTGGACAACCTTCAATTTCGCTTTAAAGTCAGCAGAAACATTGAGCGACGAAAGCGCAAGTGCTTGCGCCAATTTCGCACTCAATAGCTCAAACTTTTCCTTATATTTAGTAGCACTAGCCTGGCCGATATCCATGTTCATAAAAGACACATACTCAAGTACTGACTGCTTGAGAGACTTCATATTTTCCTCCGAAAAAGCAGAAGGATGACTGGTTGAAGTAGGGCGAGACGTCTTGACTTGTCCCTAGGAAGTGAACAAGTCCTGGATGAAATGCACAATGTCATCAGCACCTTGCAAAGAAAAATGCCAACATTGAGGGCTTTCACTACAATAAACGAAGTGAAAATGAAAGTGAGAGAAAAGGTTACCTCATCAGCAATCTTGAGAAGTTCAAGCATATTACCAGTTAGCTCCACCACCTGTGGGAACTTCCCCTTATTTGAGCGAGAAGACTCTGTCACAACGAGCAGGCCCATGGGAGCCTTTACATAATTCAAGAAGTAATGAATCAGAAACCAGTAGCACAAGCAAAGGTAAAACATCAAAATATGTATTACCTTTTGGTTCAACATTTGGGGGGTCGGCTCCCTGGGAAGAAGGTGGCCCTTCTACTGTTGTGATGAAGATTTCAGGACTAAGAGTTTCTCTTTAAGCATAGTCCCTTCATCAGCTGATTTGGACGAAGCAGCTTTAGCAGAAGATGGTGATGCAGGAGTTGTCAAAACCAAAGCCTTCGAAGGAGAGGCTGAACTTTTCTGAAAAAATTCAAATAAACTATTAATACATAGAAAAGTATGTTTGTGAATAAACAAATTCAATTACCTTTCTCTTAAGGATAAGAGGAGCGTCATCATCATCATCATTATCATCCCGTAAAATGGGAGATGCTGAAACTGGCCATTTGCGGCTTAAGACACCTTTAGCTGCAGTAGCCTTGGCAGGTGGAGAAGCAGATAGACGAAGAGGACATTTAGCACGAGGAGAGGAGGAAGGAATCTTAATGGACACAGGGGTGTCCAAAATAGAAGAAGTAGAGGAAGTGTCTGGCTGATCCAGTAAATGGAAGGCACGATTAGCATCAGTTGCAAACAATCTGTGTTTTACTGATGGTCAGAGCTGTTCAAAAAGAGGATGGACGGCACAATTAGAATTGAAAGAGGCTAATGAAAATTTGCTCGTCAAAAGAATGTTGTGAGCATCTACAGCTTGTACTTCTGCCTTATTAATAGTGTGAAAATGATCTGTCAAATTTTTGGAGTAGCAAGGAGGAACAGGCCAAGTTTGGCCAAAACCAAGTTGGCGAGTAAAAAATTGGGGAGCATATATTTCAACCCCAGCCTTGGCATTGGTTCCAGTTAAAATATCGTGGAACAATTTCCTCCCAATCAAAAACTGAACACAAACAAGCAGAGATGCACTCACACTGTCCAGGGTGGATGGAGGTTGCACATAATCTGGAGTCAAGTGAGCAGGAAAAGGAAAGAAGGAAGGAACTGAATTTAAGGTATAAAAGAATGAAAAAATGTCACTATTGGACATATTTACAGGTTTCAATGGGTCAATGGCTAGCCCATAGCAGCTAGTAGAACGAAGGAAAATGGATGGAGCACCAAGTGGTGGAAAGTATGCTCTCAACCACAGTTGAGTGAGCCAAAGGGGCCCATTGCTAATGGGAGATGCATCATTCTTCGGTTGAGATTGAAGAGAAGCCATGCCTCTATAAAGGGCAGCTAAAAAAAAGGAACATAAGTTTAAAGGCCTACCATGCGCCAATTCATGCGCTATGGGTAAGTAGCTCATAGAATGTTTCATATCTGGCACGTAAAGAATATATTTACAGAGCCACATTTGAAGAAAGGTCACACGCTCAGTGTGGAAAGGTTCAGCGCTTGAATGATTATAAAAGCCTTGCCTGCTTGAGTAGGACTCAGTAAGTTTCTTGTCAAATTTCGGGCCAATACTGAAAATCAAGATACGAGGAAAGATGGTATCGCCCGAAGGCGGAAGATTTACTAGGGCTCCAACGTCTCTTAAAGTAGTAATAGACATGGGACCAAGAGGAAAAACGAAGGTATTATATTCAAAAGACCAAAAACTCAAAGAAATCGGAAAAAGCACCGAGTCAAAAATTGGGGATTGAAGAGCAATTTTTAATAAGCCTGAAATCCTAGCACGATCAAAAATCGCCTTGGTAGGGCCGTGATTCACAAGATTTGCATGCCATCTACCAAAAATAACATCAATGGCAGAGAATTCAGGAACGGAGGGTCTTGAGTGCAAGGGAACAGCTAGCCCACTGTCACTTATCCAACGGCTTCGACATTATTGAATGATGGACCTATATAGAATTCATTGAGGTCAGCATTGGCTTGTGTAAGAAAGTTTGGATTTACATACGGCCTAGTAAGGATTTTCTGGAAATCTTCGAAACTAAAAGAATCATCAGTTTGAGTTTGTGAAGTCGCCATTGGGTGCAAAGTACAGTTTTGTTAAGATTTACCTGAGAAACGTAGCAGAGAAACAAGAAAATGAGCAGTAAAATAGCGAGGAGGAAGCGCGAAATATATGAAATGGCGTGTCTTTTGGGTTTATAAGGGTTTGTAACGTTACACCTTTTCAGGCTATAGAATGAAATAATGATTGAAATTTTTGGGAATTTCAAATGTTGCTGGAAAATACAAAGTGAATATGGAAAAGATTAATAATTGGTATTAATTTTGCCATATTGGGGGTAATTGTTGACTTACTAAAAGTGCAGCTCAAATCAAATAGCCCAAAGAGTGAAGCCCAATTGGGGAGTCCAAGATAAGGGTCCAAACAGGATTATTGATGAATGCAGTGGAAGCCCACGAACACAGTAACATCATCGCCCAAATTTGCAAGACACCCAGAATCTGAGCAAATTGAGTGCCTTACGGTCGCCCAGAGCGATGACCTCGTTCTCGTCCAAACCTTTGAATCGCCTAGGATCTTAGCAAACATAAAATATTATGGTTATCTAGAATAGCAGTTATTGAAGCAGTTATTGAGTAATCTTATCACATTCCACGATTCAAGGAGCCCAGTTGAAGGCAATTGAATGATAAAGAGTAATAGCAGCAGTTAGAGACGGTAGTTCCATGACAAATAAGCCACCATAAAGAAAGTGGGTAGTTATAAAGCAATCAAATAGTTTTCAAACGATTTGTCACGAGAAAATCATCAAGGGAATATAAAAAGGAAGAGAAGACAGAAAGAAAGAAGGATGAAAACACTCTCAAACAGAGAATGTGTAGTTTAATTTCTTGGCTTAAATTTAAACATTTCTTTTAGTACTCGTGTGCTTGCGCCTATTAGAGATATTCTGTTTATTTACAATTGTAAATTACCGTCAATAAAACACCCATTTTTGGGACTTTGTCTCAAGAGGTTTGTTCCTTACACAATCGTCTGATCCTTTTTTAATTGTTAGCGACTACCTGCGCGAAACAACCATAAATCCATTAAATTAAAAAGGAAAAAAAAATAAAGAATCTCTTCAAAAAAGAGGAAAAAGGGGGAAATCTTTAAAATCATCTTCAACATTTGAAAATAAGGGTACAAATGATAGTTAGCATCCAACTGGTACAAGCGAACTGATAATCATTAATTAAAATTGATCCACATTCTGCATAGAAAACATTCTTAAATTATGCAATCAATTAGACCTCCACCCACTTACATAAACTGCCTTCCGCTCATTTCATAAGATTCAATAGTTGCTGGCTATTTTCAGAACCAATCTTGCTCTTTTTTCCTCAATTCAGTAGCAATGAGCAAACAAGGATTTTGACAACTTACCTAACAAAATCAGAAGAAAGAAAACTTTATTCCATTAGTTGCAGCAAACAAATTGCATTATTCAATAATGTCTTTCATACTGCAGGCCGGGTAAGTTTATTATAAATTTGGAGAAATACGCCTTGCAATTTCTTATTCGAAAGAGTCATATTCCAATTTAGATTTAGCTAAAAGAGCAATAGGGCCACCAACCCATTTCAGATTTTTGACACTTCAGACTTCGATCGTCGTTTCCTTCTTAGGATCCTCCAGTGGCGTTGACGGAAGGAATTGGAGAAATTAGCTCAATAAATCATCTCGTTTCTTCCTCCCTCTACTAGCTAAACCTATAGTTATTTTTTCTTTCTCAAGTCTTGGGTGGGTTTTGAACTTATTGGGGACTAGGCCTAACTTATGAGGCCCCCAAAAATTTGAGGCCCTAGGCCTTTGTCTAGTTCGCCTTGGGCGAGGGCCGACCTTCTGGAAGGGGATTGGGCATGGGAACAAGATTGAAGAAGAGATAAGATATTTTTTAATATTTTAAGTAGGGCTCATTTACACTGTTGAAAATTTTTGAGGCCCCGTTTGGTAGTGCTTTTTCACACTCAAAAATAAATTTTTTGGCCGTTATTTCATTATTTCAACTGTCAAATTTTATTTTATTATTATTATTTTTTTCAAGATTTATGTGTGAAAGAGAAGGATAGAATCCAAACAACAACCAAAACAAGAAGCAAGTGAAAACTCATCATCTTCCCGACAAGCCCACATTCCCTCTCTTCAATCTAGAGTGAGAAACTGAAATACTTTAGCTTTGTTTTTTGAAGGTCAATAGGCTGAAACATGGTGGGAATTTTTTCAAGATTTTCTATCAGTAAAGCTGGGCATCGGCGGGCGCAAAGTGCACTCGTAAGAACCATCTTTCCCATAACTTCTTAATGTAATATTTAGTTCTTCAATTTCGTAGAGTGTTTTATGGTCTGGATTGGAGGGTTGTTTCTTTAATTGGTTTACTTGTCTTTTTCTATTTGATATTTTTCCTGGGCTGTGTTGCAAAGATTTATTTTACTGATAGGTTTAAGTTTGATTTGATTTATTCTTAGTCTCTCTGATCTCTGCATACAAATTTGATTGAGATTGTGAAAACTTGTGGATATTCTTGGTTCTGAATCTGATTCATTTTTAGATTTCTGTATTTCTTCGATGAATTGAATTTGTTTCATTAAGGTGAGATGAACTAACTTGTTTCATTTTCCAGAATTTGGAGAAAAAATGTGATTGTAAGTTAATGATCTCTTCGATAAAAACCTAGAAGGGGCGGTATTCAGTTTTTATTAATCTTTGATCCATTTTTTCACACACACACACACACACATATATATATATATTTTATGTTCATATGATGAGTTAGACATATTAATATTTGCACAAACATTTAGATAATTGCATAAAGATAGTACACTAGATTATTTACCCGGAAAACTTAAAAGCAAAAAAACCACTAACCTTCTCTTCCGCAAATCTACTAAGAATCTGAAGTTACAATCACGAGTTTGATTTTACAAAATAGTGGATTCAATTCAAATTTTATTAAAAGTAAAAAATAAAAAAATTACTTATTCCCCTTCTTCCACTAGCCGATCTTAATCATGATAGATGATTAGCACCAGAGCCAGCACCAATAGAAGTTGATCGGAAAGTATATAAAGTAGTAGATCCAGATGAATCTTCTGTTAGGTTCTTGTTAGTAGCAGCCGGCTACCTTTTACTTCACTCTGTGCTCCCAACTACGGGGGATTTCACACTTTTACTTTTTGTCGGCCTCACATCGATCGTTCTGTCCACATTGACCTTGACTCTCACTACGTACTCCAAATATATCTATTAGAAGTTTCAGGCTGAGGTGAGCTACTTCTTTTCTTTCCTTTTTGAGCTCTCACCTTGAGCCGATTTTGTTCAATGGATTGTTCATCTAAGGAAATGAAATAAAAAGCTGGGAAAAATAAAGCAGCAAGGTACCCATTGCTATGAAACTGTCCAAATAGTGGCATAGTGCTGCTTCAATCCTTGTTTCATTTACAATGGTCCAATTTGTCGAGACGGACCCAACTGGCTGCACTAATTATTTAACCTCTGAATAACTAGAAATCGTTCAAAAGCTTTTTTCCATCAAACATTCATGACTTTTCTTTGGATGTAATCACAAATTCTGTTGGAAGACAAACCATAATTAAGAAAGTCATCACAAATTATTCGAAAAAATAAACATTTATGTCCTTATGGTTGTTCGTGTTGATTCTGATGATAGAAAAATTCAGTTAGCATACTTTGGTGGGATATTTACAGAATAGTTGTTGGCATTTTGTGACCTAAGGATTTCTATCACTTCCATTCTTCTCATTTTTCTCTTTTCCTCATCTTCCTAGGTTCTCCTTGGCCATTTGATTCGGCTCTTGATAATGATAATATCTAGTGATTATAAGTCTATTGACTAATCAGGCGGTTAAATGTAGTGCATGAGGTTACGTGGATGCAAAAAGCATGCATTGTGTATGAACTCTATTGTTTGCTTGATAGTGTAATCTAGTATTTGATTCTTTTTTCACCACTTCAGTACATATTAATCCCTTAAATTATAACAATTTTCCCTTAATCAATCCAGAGACATTATTTTTTAATTCTTCTGGGATTACATTGTAGGACTTGTGAACTTGTGGTCAACTGCTTACGTGCTCATGGTGACTTGTCTTGATGTGCAGGATCAAAGGGAAGTATTGCCCCCGAGTTCTGAGGCAACTACTGCTGTTACTTTAGCTACCGCTGCCTCTACTGCGACCCATGGGGATGAAGTTGCAGTTCAGTTTAAGCCAGTTGAATACCCAGCTGAGCCTCCTGACAATGATCAACCAGTCCATTGTCCACTTCCAGAACCATCAATTCTAAATGTAAGCTTGAGTAATTTCTTTTGAACCTTTAGAATTTCCACTATAAATGAAAAGGTAGTGCAAACCAAATGGCACGCTACTTCCATTCAAAAAGCTTCGTGTTGTTCAGGTTCCCAATGTTTGCTAGAGGATACGTATTTCTAATTCTACCTTACGTGCTAAATATTTTAGCGAAAAGCTTGTTTGCACTATTTTTTATTTTTTAATACTATTGATGACTGAGGTTTTAGACAACTTGTCTAAATTTTAAAGCCATTTCAGTGGGTCATTTACCAACATGCTGGCCTTTTACAATTTTTTCCCTAGTTCGAAGCTCTATAGAGGTTTCCCTTTCCATAATTCTGTAAGAACTGCTTGTGTTTCCCTGTTATGTACCTTTGCAATTTTGCAATTATGAAATTATTAACATTGGTTTTTTGAAACCTTTTTATGGCAGATATTTCCAATATTTCAACCCCAGCATGATATCAATTAATATTATTCTTTTCAACTGTTATTTTTTAATGGAAATAAAACTGAAAATAGCAGTACTTTTTATGGAAAAAAACAAGTGAAAACCAAAATAGGATGGGTTTTGGAACAAGGACAACGAGCATCACTCATGCGAACATTAATGACTTGAAGCATTTAGACTCCTGAAGTTTTTGGGGGTTGTGTGGTTGTATTAGGGAGAAGAGGGACTTGTGATTTTCTTTTGGGATAGATGAGCAAATGATGTGTATAAGATATAATTTTGAAACTATTGTAACATGTGGGGTCCACATTTGGTAGTCGAGGTAAATAATTATTTATTTATCTTGTGCTAGGCATGTAGAGTCATCCCTATGGGTTTAAAGATGATATGGGAAAATGAGAAGTAAGAATACATGGGGACAAAGTCTATGTTGTGAGACCTTTATTTTCATTTGAGGCTTATGCTAATGTTTGTAGGGTAGTTTACTTATAGGGAAAATTACACCCCTACAGGTGTTTAAACTTCCAAATTCTAAATCCAGGGTTGAAGATTATCTGTGCAAAAATCAGGTTTTCTATATAATTAATCTATCCCCAATTAAAAACCCTAAACATATCCCCAATTTTCTTCCCTCTCTCTCGTCTCTCTCTGCCTTCACTGCCATCGCCGTCGAGGAGGCGACCGTCGCCGGAGATAATGGGGCAAATGATCTATTCTCCCTTTTCTTTCCTCTCTCAACAATGGTGGCGGCGCCGGCAAGCCGATTGTCACCTCGCAGCGGAGTCGCGCGACACAGCACTATATTCTCGCACGATGACGTTTAAGATAGGAAATGGCAAGAGGCGGTCTGGTGGTGCAGCGACACTCTTCTCACGCCCGGAGGAGAATCGCTGCCGTCGCCGCTTTTCATATTGAATATGGCGACCGGTTTTTGCAGAGCGTAGAAAGGCGATTTTGTTGCGAGAATCGTGACCAATTGCGATCTGTTGTCGGACATTAAATGTTAACAGTCGCAGGTGAGGTGTTGATGGCGTTGGTGGTGGTGCGGTATATTTTGACAGGATTAGTGGCGAGTTTGTGTGATCTGGCTGTGGTGGTATGTGTGGTGATGTTGCTGGTAATGTGTGTGGTACGTTCAGCAATGTTGATGCTATCGTCGTGGTGGTTGTGCGGTGTTGGGGTAGTGGAGACTGGAGATGCTAGTGGTGGTGCAAGTGGGAGTGGCTGTGGTTGTCGTGGGTGATTTTGTTGGTGTTGGTGTTGGTGATGGTGGCGGTGGCAGCAGTAACGGGAGTTAGTGGGGATTTTGTTGGCATTGGTGGTGGTGCCGAGTGAGGGTAGCTCGGGATTGGGTGTCTGTGACCAGTTTGGTCCCGTGACTGTAATCTGTGACCTTAAAATTCGAACAATTGTGATTTAAAAGTAATATGTGACCATCAAATTTGAAAATATGTGACCTGTGACCTATACAATTTTTGATATGTGATCTCGAAATTATCTGTGACCTACAAAATTTTTAATTTGTGATCAATAACATGAATTGTGACCTATAAAATCGATAGATAAACTGTGATATGTGACTTCGAAAAAATCTGTGACCTATCAAAGTTTTGATTCGTGACCTCAAAATAATCCGTGACCAATTAATTTGATGATATGTGACCAATGAATAAATCTGTGACCTATAATTGTGTAAACGTGACCATTAATTGTATATTTGTGATTTTATTATATTTAATTAATAAATATATTTAATTAATTAAATAAAAACCTGATTTTTGCATTAGTTAAACTTAAAACATGGTCTTTGAATTGTGCATAGTTAATACATGGTTTATGAATTCTTCCCTTACTTATATTGGTTTTGTTAGGATAGTTGTGTTGGTTCATGGGGAGTGATTATGAGACATAGCTAGGAAATGAATGGAGGAATTGAACGTGTAAGAGAATTTAGTTAAT